TTATCTTTATACTAAACTAGAACTATGGGCCTTTATTTGCGTACAGCGCCCATCAAACTATGGCACACCCCACACACACCGTACCAGCAATCAGTTGAACTGCCCCACCAACGACACACAGTAAAAACCCAGACAGGTTTATGACACATGATCTTTTTTTGATATGGCCTATGTGAGTTGACAATAAATAGGATTTAATTTTGTATTGGTTCAATGTTAAAAATAAATCAAACTCCCAAAAAACGTAACACGGCCTTCTGTGTGCTTTTATCAGTGCTTGGGTGCTAGTTATAAACCGGAACTAGTTACCATTACTAGTTTGCTCTCATTTTCAAAAAGTACACCTCACAGCACACATCGACTTCATCGTATTAACTTTCACGATTATCTACCTACCAAACATATGTGTCCAGTGTTTTGCAGTGGTGGGATTGACTTTTTGAATTGATTCTACGAGTTATAGTAACCCATCAGCATTTATAAAGCAATTAACACATACCATCCGCCATGGCACATTAATGCACTTATACGTACTTTAAGTTCACTAATTTGAATACACGGACTACCTACAATGACCAACCCGCCTCACAACTTCTGCAAATTACATCAAGATTACTTAACGATCCTTGTCTGAGATATTTTGAATGCATCATACATTTGAAGTAATGTGCCATTTCCAAAATATTCTTATGCGATTTGTGATGCTTTCCATGTTTATCGTATGCTGTGTGCCTTAAGGTTTTAATTATATGCAGTAAGCTAGGACATACTTTTAATTGTCCAAGAATGTAACAAACAGCTGATACTTCCTGTATGTATCTTACATGTGTGTACGTGGTTTTTTGTTTGTGAGCGACGCTTCTTTGCTGAACCAAACGCCAGATCGATAGGCCACTGCAAACATCAGAAAGTTTCTTTTCAACATACAACGCAGGCAGCGAGCATCCAGTATCAGCTTTATGTGTTCAAGAGGGAGCAGCTCTAACCATCCCTCTCAGACACTCTAAAATTTCTAAAGTCATGCAGCACTATTGGATGTTTCCCAGACCGTCCAGCCAGTTGGAGTTGAGTAAAGCATGCCTCTGAATGAATCGCCTGTCATGACTCGTGGAAGGCTTAATAAAAGAGACTCTCCTTTGGATTTTTCAACGAAGAACTGCGGGGATCTCTTTCCTTGTGGCATCACCGTATTCAATGGAAGGAAGACGCGTAGACAACAAGGACGCCTCTCTCCTGGTAATATTAACCAAAGGTTGCATTGCATCAACGTCCTTGAAGAGGATTCTGGTGCACACAAAGGATACAAACTGAACAGTCAAATCATCACACAAACAAGCACACGCAACGCATACACGAAGACAACCAACCAACCCATAAACCGAAATAAGACAACGCTATCTACACACACATTCAAGTTCCGACAAACAAATCAAATACAGACACAAAAGTTTGCAGCGGGGAAAGGAAGAAAAGAAGGAAAGGAAAAGAGAAAGAAAGAAAGAATGAACGAAAAGAGTGCCCCCTGTCAACCAATGAATACTAAGTAACTATTACCACATCAAAGCCATTTAACTCACTACATCATATCCATACCATATATGCCGTCTTTGCTACCATATTGTAAAGTTTGAAATTGGCAAAAAGAGGAATGAAATTGCGGAATACTGGACGGAGAGTCATAGAGGTATACCCTGGCACGACACGATGGTTATCCCTTACAGAGGTGAAAGTACAGACCTCCACCCAAAGCCACTTTCAAGGGCTGAAATAAAGTGTGTTTTCACTCTGTGATTCAGATCTGCTTTCAAATTAAATGTGTTTGCCCTTGACCGAAGACCCAGGAACAACCTCCCAGCAGTTTCATCAAACCAAGTTGCATAAGTTCTTTCCATAACCCTCCTGAATATGCCACCTGTCCCTTTATTAAGGATCA